GAGGTCTTATTTTGTGTTCTTTGAGAGTCCTAGAATCGGGTTCCTCAGAAATTTTTGACCTCTGTTCAGGCTTCTTACTTTTATGGCTGAAGACTTCCAGATACCTTATAGTTACTTCAGAATACATGTGAAAAGTGCAGAGGCCAGGTTTTTCCTATAAAATGCTTACAATGGTCTTCTTTGCACCAATAGCTTATTGCATGAGTTACCAAATATCAGGGTGGCCCAGACTCCACGGGTCCCAGAATGCACCATCTGCATGTCCTAGAGCTGGAAACGTTCCCAAGTCACGTTATCTAGCAAAAGAACAACACGAGAGCAGAGCTCCTGCAAGACCCATGATCATCCAAGTAGTATTTAATGTCTTGTCTTCAGGGAAAGACAGATGTGTAAAATCTTTCATAACTACCCAATGTCAAAATAATATTGAACAGAATAAATAGTTGCCTAAATTAAGATGCTCTTGAGCATTGGTTATATAGAACAAGAACAACTAACAAATCAAGCCAGAAGAGAGGCATGCTTTATTATTTTCTTCTCCTTGTAAATTACACAGGGCATGAGCAACCCCTGCTGCGGTTACAAGGATATCAAGATCTTGTCTGCTTTAAGATCTGTGGTGATAATAATAATCTCCTAACCTTCTGTGGCACTTTGTATTCTCCCAGCACTTTTGTAACATTAATTAGGTCCTCCGTAGGCAGAGGTACTGTATTACTACTGGTTACAGCATTATGCAACTCCACTCTTTCTAGAGTTTAAATATTTATTTATTTATTGCTTTTAATGTGTATTTAGTCAATTGACAATGTTTTCAGATTATAATCAGCAGAAGGGAAAGGCCCAGGGCTCTATTTCTGCAGCCCAGAAACAAGCCAGAATAACAGTGTTTATCCTTATTAGCGGGAGAACAGCCCTTGGGGACTGCACTGAGAGCCTGCAGCACTGCTCTCCCATTTACCTGCCTCCACTTCAAACACACAGTTCTGTCTCACTGTGAAAAGGATCTAAACACAGTCTTCTGACTAGTAAAATTAATGAAAAGTCTAGAAGTAGACCAAATTGGTTAGGTGCTTGATTTCAAATAATTACCACCCAAATATAAATTTTAATTAATAACATTCATACTAATTTTAAAAATTACTACAAGAATCAACAACTTTATTTCATGGAATTAAATTTATACCTATCAATAATTTGTCAATAATTAATTCTCTAAATTTTAACATGGAAATCGTACAAGTGTCCCATGCTGATGTATATGATATATGCATTTACAACGGCTGTACCACAAATTAGTTGTATTACAATTTTTAGACCATTTTATTGTTCTCCTTAAGGAAATATGATGACATTTGGTCTGCTAAAGCTGTACTTTTCTTTGCATTATTGTCATCAAAGACCTTCTGAGAAACTGTACAAGCCACAGAGGCATGTACCACCAGTGGTTCAAGCCAGCAGAAATGATTAAATTCAAATCTGTCTCTAGGACCTGTGAATATAAATCCATTTATTTCACATGTGGCTCTTGGTGGGCTCTCCCGAGCCGCGTTGGTGTGATGCTTAAAGACTCCAACAAACAAAGCTGCTCTGTGTGCACTCTAAGCCCGCAGCCCTACAGAGCCACAACCATTTGCAGAAATATTGAAAAGTTACAAATTAAGCTAATAAAGTACAAAATAGAACATGTCCCATCTTCCTACATCATCACCTGTATTTTCACGAAATAAAATCGAAAAATCTGTGATTGAATGAATTTTGTGACTGAATGAGTAGTAAAATAATGACACACATATTTATAAACTACAAATATAAATATCAAAATATTCAACAAAATGTGAATATATTCCAAGTTTTTCTTGCCTTCATTTCAGCAAAATCATTGAATATGACACAGTGGAAATTGTCACAAAATTTAATCTCTAGATATTAATAATATAAATGTTTATCTGAAAATAAAATGTGCTCATAATCAAAATGTATACAATTGAATCTTTGAATATATTAAAGTAAATGTAAAATTTTTAACCAAATAATTTTCACACATTAAAAAATGTTATTTTCAAATTATTCATTAGATCAAAGTAAATACAAATAACACTAGTAATTATTAAACCTTTAAATTTAAGCAACTGAAGAAAACTGGTTTAACTTTTTAAAATTTCAAAAATTTTATGAGACATTATTCATGATTTCAGCATTGATGCTTATATATTAATAGCCAATCTAAGGAGTTAGCATAATGCTTTATACAAGCTGTATTTACACTAACAGCTACACAAAATTAGAGCAATGTAAATTAACACTGGAAGGTATTCCTCAGGCACCATGTGCAACTTCTTTTGTCAGTGATTCTGGAGCTATGAATTGGAACATGAAGTAACGCAAAGAAACGGTCATTCATTTATGCTAGGAAACAAAATTCATTGTGAAAGAATCTACTGAGCTCATATTATCCCCAAGGATTTGACATGTTAATTAATTTACCCTTTTTCTTTCCTAAATATTTGTGTCACTCAAATCCTCTTTATGTTTCTAAGTAGTGTTCATCACCAAGAGCAAGAACTTTAACCAATTATTCCCCCATCTATTTGAAAAAGATTTCCCTATTAAAGTGACTTAAGAGAAAATTGATAAAGTCCAAATGCTAATGGCTATACACACGCTTAAGCTAATTGTCTGAAACATTACAGTTTTAGTACAAGAACTTGCAACCGATGTGACTCATACTCTGGCCTGAGTGTATACTGTGCCACGTAAGGGTGTAAGCACTAGGTCAGAGTCCAGGTGTGTACTTCCATAGCACATAATACAACTGTTCTTAGCAAGGCTCTAATGTCAGAAAGAGGAAACATAATTTCACACTAGACTGTAGGCAGCAGCTTCAGAAGCCTCCTTTTCCTGTTTCATTCAGTTTGGACACCAAATGAAAACTTATCTGGATGATACTACTTTTCTTCATAAGTAGGCATGTCATGAAAGTTGATTACTATTTGCATGAAAATATACCTATTTTGTAAACAAAGCCTGCTCCTCTCAGAACATATAACATGTTTTCCAGATTAATGTTGGGAGTGGTGATTCGCAAAGCACATCTCCACCTGGAATTCCACTCTAGGGGGTCATGAATGCTTTGAAATATTTTCCTTAAAATTCCCACCAAATTGTCAACTTGTTCATCTTAGCCAGAAAAACTACACTACATAGTTTGAAAGTAAACTTCAAAATGTCCTGAAGATGTTACCACTGTATTTTCTTGACTATAGTTGTAAAAGCCACACAAAATAACATTCTAAAAACTAATTAATGTTTTGTTCAGGTAAAACATTAGTAGAAAGTGTCAACATTTGAGGCTACATAGGTGTAGGTTCAAATCTCATTTCTACTACTCTAAGTGGTTCGGGGCAAATTAGGTGACTTTTGAGTCTCAGTTTCATTGTAAATGAGATAGTAATTCCTTGTTTATAGCGCCATTGTGAAAATTGAATGGTACAACCATTGCAGAAACCCTGGCACACAATGAGTCTCAAAATACAGTTGATTATCAACCAGCAAAAAATTATCAAAACTGGCTATAATGAATTAATTCATCAATCTAAAAATACATATTGATTTAACCAAATGCCAGGCACCTGGGCATAGTCCTCAGGATTCAAAGGCATTGTTTTGCACAGGAGCTTAACATTATCATGGGGACAAAGACATCCATAACACAGAGAGGAAAGTGGTGTGCAGCACACATGGTGGAACAGGTAGCTGTGCTTGACAAGTTAGGAAAGACTTCATAAAGAAGTTAATAATTAAGCCAGTAGGATGAGCAGAAGTCTGCCAGGAAAGAATGAGAAGGGAAGTTAGGGCAGAAGACTATAAAGGCATGGAGTTATGAAAAGGTTGTCTCCTTCCCTTCAAGAAAAGTAACTAAGGTGGCTAATTTGGACCAATAAGACCCAGCTTACTTATGTGAAGGCAGAGCCAAGGCACCATATTAATCCTTGAATGATGTGGCTGTGATCAAACTTAAGGAAAATTCCAGTTCCCCAAGATGTGCCACTTTTGATGGTTTGGCTGGAGAAAGGTTGGATCAAAATTGCTCAGCACAGTAATGTTTGCTTGTCAGTATACACCAATTTTCTTAAAATGTACCAAAATGGGAGCAGAAGGAAAATTGTTATTTTGGACCTAAGACTTGTGATTTCTAGTTCTTCCTTCCCCTGTAATTTTTGTGATGTGTTGCCCTTTTCAAAAGGAACACCCTGGGATGTATTCTAAAAATTGCTATTACCAAAATGCAGGCTTCCTGATAACAAAATAGTGCTTGATTCCAAAAGCTGGAAGAAAAGATGACACAATATATTCCACAGAAAAGATATCTTCAAGTCTTGCTAAATACTGTGCAAACCATCCAAAAGACTTGATTCAAAACGAGTGAAGGTAACACCATAGCTAAAGTATCAAAAAGAATTAGACCAAGAAGGGAAAATCCTCATGCAAACACCCAGGAAGAGCAGAACTTAACAAAGTAAACAAGTCCATTGCTAAAGCTGCCTCCAAGTGCTAGTGACAGAACACTGAGGGAAACAACAGCCTTGCTGCTCATCTGAGGGAAACTGTCTGCACAACAGTGGTCCTAACACAATCCCTCTGATGTGCCATGGAGGTGCAGTGAGTGCTAATGGTGTGTACATGGAAATAATGCTTAGACTTTGAAAACAGGGTATCCAAAGGCACAAATTCAGCCCAGAATGAGCTGATTATGGTATCTGACACCACGTAGTCCTCTTTTCAACTATGGATTCATTTATCACACACTTTATCTACTAACTTGATCCATGGGAAGAAATTTTTTGTTTACATTCAGTATTCTTCTCTTGTAATAATCTCTCACTATAACCTTTCAAGATTTTACAGGTATTTAAGCACATGCTATGGAAAGTCTAAATTAGAAAACAATTCATAGGTTTTGCTTCATAAAAGGAAGCCAGTTGTTTTAATCCACTCACCATTCCGTGATTCAGCCAACCAGGGATAAAATTGTCAAGCAACTTCGGGTATATCATCTCTCTGTCGTAGGCATAGATGATCCAGAACACAGCTACAACGAACTGCAAGGAAAAAGAAATCTTTTATTTCAAGTTCATCAGTGGTCTGCAACATACAATTTGCTTGTTAAAAGAACGCAACAAAATCTGGAAGCTACGCTAAAAGACGGAACCCAGCTAACGACTGGGAAGATGGTTCTAGCTTCATTCCCCCAGTGGCGACAGCTGGGCGCTTCCTATCTCTTTGTTCTCCCAACTGTGTCCTCTCTGTAGAGGGTTCTGTCGTGAGAGAGACTGAAGAGGCCTCTTGTGAGAAAGAGCATCATTTCAGTGTAACTTGTGCTGGTTTGATTCCTCTTAAGAGGGTTTAAAAGTTCACTGGTGGTTTTTTTTTCGGGCCCCTTTCTCCACCGTACAGTGTCAGCACACACTCAAGAAGTTGTAGAGTTTGTCTCTTTGCCTTGATCCCATCGTGTGGTTGAAATTAATCTTCACTTTCTCAAATTTCTACTTTACCACTAACAGCACTGAAACTACTGCTTATAAAATGTCCCAAAGTCACATCTCCAGCGAAAGTATTAATTTATACAGTCTCAGCAAGGGCTTTCACTGAATTGAGAAGCAGGGATACAGTAGATAAAAGATGACTCCTAATTCTCTTGGAATAATTTAGAAGTTCATCTGAGTTCCAGAGGTTTGTTTTGGCCCATTAGAAACATAATCATAGAAAGACAGCAGAGTACTTGATTTATTATTTTAATGTTTTTTGAACTAATGGTGAGAAAAGCAGCTCAGATAGAATAAAGAAATGAATGGTCTTAACTTTCAGCATGGAATTTACAGAAAAAATAGATGCCTGTGTAAATGTAAAAAAATAACAAAAAAGGAAAGCATTATACAGGCATTATAGCGCCTAGTCAGTGATCTCTCAAAATAAAAAATACTATAAAATAAAAAATGCAGCACAAATATTACACAAAATAATTTTATTCCAGTTTTATAAATCATCCATGCTCCCACATCTTCGTAATGCAAATAATAAATATTTTAAGGCCACTTTTTATAAGGCACTTGGCTATGCTTGGAAACTCAAGGTTAGTAGTCAGAAGAGTTCCAAATTTCTTTTCCAACTGTGTCAGTTACGACACGGGTAATCTTGGCTGGGGAGGGGTGGGGGTGGGAATCACCCTTAAAACCTAGGATGCTACAAGTATTTATTTTATAAAACACAATGGATGATTGTTACAATAGGCAACTGTAAATTATACACACTGTTTAATATCAGATTGGGATTCCAGTTATTTATTTTGCTCTTGGGTATTTTCACTCCCAGTTTATAAATTCTCAAGACTAAAAAGAGAAAAGATCTTGTTTTAGTTTATGGTTAACTACTATAACTTTTCATCTGTTTATATACAAGTTTTCACATATTATAAATGCAGCAGAAACTATCACTTTATTAATTTTCATCCCACAAACTTGGTTGATTACGTAGAAGGAAGCTACAATGTATTTACTTTACTCCTATTTTTTGAAGGAAGAATTTGCTTGGGAAAATGAAAACTACTTGGGCTTTTACATACACAGACACATAACAATAGTAAAAAGCGTGTTAATTTTTTTTTCAAAATGACTTTCAAAATGGCAGTCTGGATAGTTTGGTGAAATAAAGTCCAGACTTCAAGCGCAAAGGTAGGGTCAGGGGCAGCAGAGACAGTGGACAGAGGGTCAGTATGATTTTACAAAACAGAAGACCTGGACAGTATTTTGAGTGGCTAGAAGTTACAATAAATGGACAGGGAAGACAGAGAATAACTGACAATGAAAATTCAAGAGAAGGATTAGGATTATGAACACAGGCCAGGCGTTCTTTTTTTAAAGTGAGACAAAGCTCTTTTGCTGACAGCTAGAAATATGGCTGTGAACAGAATGGAAACGATTTGAGGCACTGCTGCGGATAATGCACTGGGAATGCAAAGAGATATTTAGAACCATCATGAATCAGATGATGCAACAAAGGTTTAAGGGCATGATTTTGTAGAAGAACCAATCCGACTGTTTTCCAGGTCTGTGAAAATGAGGATTTAGGGAGAGGGCCCATCCTGGGTGTGCCTTAGTGCTGTGGCCTGGCAACTGGGACGGGCAGAAGATCTGAAATGAGGAGGTTATGAGATTAGGATGGAGGTCCGATCAGTAACGGATCAGCATTTCTAAGATGTTACTTGGGAAAGGGCATTGCCAGTTAATTACATGAAATACCACACATAAACCCACTAGTAACACAGAGAGGCCAGTTAAAGATAATCTTCCCTGTATTCACTTCCTTCTTGCTGTATAGAGTCAACAACTCTACGTACACCAATCAGATGAAGGATGACTTGATGCCTTGATGCCAGGAAAGCACTGCCAGCTTCCACAGAAGAACTAAAAGGGTGGTCCCAAGTCATCTAAGAGCTTGTTAGACACACAGAACCACCAATCTCCCCCTGCTGTGCTCTGGTTCCACATTTTAATATGTTCCTTAAGTCAATCACATGCAATCATATAGGTAGTGGCACTGGTTTGTGATGTCTGGCCTTTGAAGGCCTAATGCTTCCCTGTGGAGTGAACAGATCCCAGGCTAGTGGCTGTCTACCTGGATCCTGCACTCCTCCCCTTCTGTACCACACCTGGGGGACCTTCACCCTGGAATTCCCTTCCCAAATACATACAAGTATGCTTCAGGACCTCTGCAGGCCTCTCTTCTGGTCTGACTTGAAAACGGGCTTGGCAAGAAATGTGTGTTCGCTTTGACGTGAAAGGTGGTGAAGACATGCCCAAGTTTTACTTATGGTCTAGGTGTCCACAGTAAGACAGAAAAACACTTCAGTTCTAGGTGGAACCATTGGCGAGAATCCTTTCACCTTTGCTACCTAAGATAACCTAACCATGAGAGAGAGATGCCATCAGACTTACAGTTCCCGCTTACACTCAGGCCTGGACAGCAGAGGCAGAATCTTGGGGGCTAAGTTAAAATTCTGCTTATCACTGGCTCGCTCTCTATCTGTGCTTCCCTCCAAAATGAACTCTTAAATCTTTTGCATTTCCATTTCACTATTAGGATCTCAGCTTGTTAATTTCTAGAAACATTCTCCTACAGTTCTCATTATGACTGGGGAGAATTAACCTCTTAACCACATTTAATCTTCCAATTCATGGATATAAGTTATACTCACATTTATTTAGGGTTCCTTTAATTTTTTCTAGCAATGACTATAGTTTCATGTATCGACACTATATATGTTTTATTTAGGGAGACTAAATATTTCATGTGTTATGTTGCTAGTGTGCATGGTATACCTTTTTTCATTTTTTGTTTGAAATTTATAAAAATATAACAGCTTTTTACATATCGACATTGCTTCTTATACCTTTACTAAATTCACTTAGTAGTTCTAGTAGCTATTCTAGAAATTAGTTTGGATTTTTATACCTACATGGTATGTAAATAAAGACAGCGTTTCTTCTTCCTTTAAAATTTGTATACCTTTTACTTCTTTCTTTCCTTTCTAAATTGTGCTACCCAGGGCTTTGAGTAGAAGTGATTTAGAGTGAGTTTCATGGCCTTCATCCTTGTCCTAGAAAACTGCTCAGTCTTTCAGTGTTGAAGTTTGGCTTTAGCTGCAGATTTTGTTCCAGTGCCCCTTATCAGGTTGAGGAAAATTCTTCTACTCTTAATTTACTACCTTTTTTTTTCTTTGTCTTTTTGATACAGGATCTCACTATGCAGTTGACACTAGTCTTGAACTTACTTTGTAGCCCAGGCTGGCCTAGAACTCACAATGATCCTCCTGCCTCAGCCTCCCACTGCAGGGCTAATTTACTACTCTTAATTTACTTTGGGGTCACATCTATCTACAAACTCATATTTTTCATGAGGGAGCTAAATTTTTTAGACGGTGTGTTGTATATTTTGAGATGATAATATAGTTGTTTTGTTAATATGATGATTCTGCTGGATGTGGTGGTACATGCTTGTAATCCCAGAACCTGGGGGGCTGAGGCAGGAGAAGCACTGTGACTTCAAGGCCAACCTGAGCTGCAAAGTGAGTTCAAGACCAGCTTGAACTGCAGAGAGAAACCCTATCTTAAAAAGGCAAAAAAAAGTGTGTGTATGTATATATATATACACAAATTAGAAAGGGAAGAAAGAAGTAAAATGCATACAAATTTTAAAGGAAGAAGAAATGCTGTATTTACACACACACACACACAGAGGATCTCACTATGCAGCTTGGATGACAAGTGTGTAAGTGATATACACTAAATGTATACAAGTGATAAACCTCTCCATTAAAGCCATCTGGACTTGCAATTTTTCATGTAGGCAGATTTAATTATGAATTTACTTTTTTTTAATTAAAAAAAGGGCTATCCAGGCTTCTAACTTTTCTCAAGTTGATTTTAATCATTTTTACCTTTTGTGGAATTTCTCCATTTCATCTGTCTTTTTTGTTTTCTTTTCTGTTTATTTGTTTGTTTAGTGCTGGGGACTAAACCAGGGTCTTGCGCATGCTTAGCAGGGGTCGTCTACCACTATGCTATGTCCCCACAGCCCCAGCCCCCATGTTTTTGAACTGGTACAAATCAGGTATCCTCCCCCACCCAGAGAGCCAGTTGTTAACTATTTACTAGTACAGCAGCAATGGGAGCGACTTTCTGTTTACCATGAATGCTCATTCACGGCACCCCTAAAGCACTGTGGGGACACTACTCAACACTGACACTTTGGCCAGTAGTTTTGAACCTCATCATATATTGAGGGGAAAATACAGGTTGTTTAATGAGAAGTGACTTTCAAGAAAGTGTGAGTCACCTTTCCAGGTGTAACACTAGAAGGCCAGGAGGCACAGCTGAGTCATCAGTCTTCTAAATAATTCTTGAGATATAAACACAGCACAGATGGTAGGTTCTTGGCTTCCTGCTCTGATATCCACTCAATAGTATGGTCATCAGCAACCCCAAAATAAGCTTGAACTCTATACCAGGGCATGGATAGGAAACAAAAATAGTTTCTCACGGACAGGCTAAGTGATACTGGAATGTGCGGCGGCTAGAAAGACGCTCCCTATCTGGTGAGGACCAGTGGCCAGATATTCCTCATTGTGCACCTGCTGTGCTTCTTGGCTGCCAGCACCGGAATACTGTACTTGACCTGGAGTAGAAGGACAGTCACCTTCCAGTCCTTCAAGCTTCAAGACCAAATACTAGAGTGACAGCTGGCATTAATACCCCATCCAAAGCCCTAGAATTATTGGAAGCTAATGCCAAAAGAAAACTGGATGGTTTGTCTCTTTTTTAAAGGAATTTCTCATATTGATTCTGACAGAAGCCTAAATTTCAGGGTTTGTCCACCTCTAAGAAGCTTTACTAATTAGTGGTAATTTTTGGAATTCAGTAAAACCAAGTTGCTGATGTTTTGTTGAAGATCTTTTTTCGTCTCTATTCATGCAGTACACTGACCCATACAGTAATTTTCTTTTCTAATAAAGTCTTCATCCAATTCTGATAACACGATAATGCTAGCCTCACAAAATGACTTGTGCAGACACGTGCCGTGAAGAAGGTTAAAGAGCCACTAATCTGACTAGTGGTCTAGAGGGCCATGCAGCAAGATCTCAGAATCCCCTGTTGAAAGAAGAGAGGAAGGAAGGGACGAAACAAATGAATAGTCTTCAGCTTCAACAGGATCTGGTTTTATAAAATTGCTTTCCCTTTTAATGTATCAGTCCTGTATTAAAGACTCCCAAATACTGATATGAAAAATTCAAATTTTGCTGTGGGCTCTACTGCCTTGCTTCTAGATTTCTTCCTCATGATTTGCTTTGCATGCACTTAAAGATGTTTATAATTGTGGCTTCTCTTTCCTAATACAGGGGAAAGCTGTACACCCTGGATGTAGCCCTGCTTGCTCTGCTGGCCTCTGTGCACAGCGAACATCACATTGCGATGTGGCCCTGATCCTCTCACCTTCCGTTTCTGGGAGATCCCGAGAGTCTGGTCCTTCTGGCTTACTTCCCTCAACCATATCCTCAAATTCAGAAATGCACAGTGAAGCATGAAGCCCTCTACAATGTCACTGTATCTTTTCTTCCTCAGTATAACAAGCTTCTAAAGCTTCATTCCTAGAAGTGTGACGTGCAGTCCCTCTCCCTGCAGTTAGGAATCTATGAGCAATATTTTTTTAATGCTACCTATTCTTTCCAAATTACCTCAAAACTAGTATTTCATACAATAAGTTTCTAAAGCATATTAATGCTATGTCCTTTTTCCTGACATTCAACTACTACCTTAATTATGTCTACAAAATCACATGAGAAAACCCAACTCCTACAGAAGCCTGGGCAGCTTGGTTTCTGCCTTCCTCTCCGATGTCAGTTTGTGCTCCTAAACTCCAACTGTCTATCTGATTGTTCCTAAAAATCACCAAGCCCTTTCCTGCTTCAGGGTTCTAGGCTCTTCTCCCTTCTGCCAGGAATGCTGTTCCCATTGTTCCATGTCTGGGCTCCTCTCAGTCTAGTTTGAATAGCACCACTGCAGGGAAACCTCCCCAGATCACTGCTGTGTTATTTCCTATCACAGACCCAGACAGAAAACAGCAATATAATTTATTCATTTATTCTCCACATTTATATCACACACATGCTGTATGCCAGGCAATGGGGAACGAGCAACAAACAAGACAGGGTCCTGTTCTCCGATTCTTCACTTTTCACAGAGGAGCTAAGCAGTGAGAAGGCTCTTGTTACTGTTGTTGTGCCCGATTGCTCATTAGTTAGCTCCTCTGTGAAAAGAATCAGAGAACAGGGACTTGCCTTGCTTGCTGCTTGTTCCCCATTGCCTGGCACATAGCATGTGTGTGATATGAATGTGGAGAATAAGTGCATCAATCATATTGCTGTTTCTGTATGGGCCAGACCCAATCTCCCATGGGAGCAAGGACCTTTATCTCCTTCAGTCGTCTTCCCATTGACCTGCAATTTCTTCTTTATGTTTTCTGTGGGGTTTGTCATCCTCCAGTGTAGAAAAAGAACACCTTCTTTCCCAGCTATGTTCAAAGGCCATCCTTTCTCAGATCTCTATCAGGCAACTCCGTCTTCACCTGTTTACGTCTTTCAACATCCTACCGTCATTTTCTAGACTCCTACGTCAAGATGGCAGACCGAAAGCTCTTTACGTCAACTAAGAAAGAGGAGAATGACTGAGAAACAAATGAAACTGATGAAAGTGGGAAATACCTGTCACCCCAACATCACCCTTTTAAAAGGCTGCCTGCCAACAGTTCAAAAAGCTGAATGAGGCCAGAGGAAGACTCTGAGGGAAGAAACAAGAACCTACTGCTCTCTGGCCGAGTGAGCAGAACAGAGAGCTCTTCAGGTGGCACTCCCTGAGGGACATGAAGTGACCCCTGCAGGGAACATGAGTGCTCGATGCCTGGGAGCTCTGGGGAAATGCTCTTATCCCTCTTTAGGGATCACATTTGATGTGTAAACATGCCCGCACGTCATCTCTGCAAGAAGGGATGTGGGTCTGTTAAGGTCGACAAGAAAAAAATCAGTGGTAACGCGCTCAAATATACAGACCGTGGTCCCTCAATGAAGACCAGGCTTCATGCCACTCTGCAAAGGGTTATGATGAAAATGAGTCCGAGAGCAATGAGCTGAGAGCAGACTGGAGCCTTTCTCCAGGGCAGAGTGGTAGTGGAAAACAGAAATTCAAGCTGCCCCAGCTCAGTTCCCTAGCCTGTCTCTAGTTCTGTCCTTCCACAAATAGCTGGGCCACGAAGAACTGATCAATTTAAGGATAAGTAATCACAGGAAAAGAGACAGTATGGAATGTACAGCAAAAAAGGTAACTAAACAATACAAACCAGAAAAAAATGCACAAGTGGGTATAATTTATCATCAAATAATTCCTCATTGTAAAAAGTGGGGGTCAAAGAATAAAAACTGAAAATGTAAGAAAAGAACAGAGCTTTCAAGGAGAGGGTAAAAATGAGTGAAAAGTATTTAAGGAAAAAATACAAGAAGTTAAACTAAAAGTTACATTAGAAGTAGCAGAAGAAAAATTTTCCTTTGGTGAAAATAGGGCTTCTCTTTTACAGGACTGTGGACTAGACACACTAAAAATTCTTCCTGCAATGAAACAGTAGGTTCAAAATAAACTACAACAAACACACTTTTAAATGAATTTCTGAGAACACAGGAAAGAAAGGGAAAAATCAGAAGGATGGGCAGGGGAGGGGAGGGGCAGAGAGGGACTGGAAGGGAAGGGAGAAAGGAAGAAAGGAAGAGAAAGGAAGGAGAGTCAGGTGGGAAAAAGAAAAAGAAGAAGAAGAAGGAAGGAGGAGGAGGAGAAGGCAGAAAGAAGAAAGAAAAAGAAGAAGGAGGAGGAGGAACCCAGAACAGTAGCAAACACAGCAGTGTGGATTCCCTGGGAAGCAAATAGTATGAGAATCAGAACACTCTGTGGCTTGTGCCAACAAGGTAGACCAGAAAGCCCTGGACCCTTGCAAGGTGGTGGGGCCCACTAAACCTGGGGTGTTGGCCCCCTTTCTTCTCCTCCTGATTGTGTTAAATAAACTGCTTTCATTCCCAACTACTAAAATCCTGTAAATTTAAAAAGTTTAACTTCATAGAATTTTCTCTGTATTGAGAAAATAATTTATTTTCTTCCTTTATGTTTGTATGAGCGAAAGCTAAGTCTGGTAAATAAGCAAAAGCTGCAAGGGCTGAAACGAAATTTTATACTTATACCAAATAGCTGTAGTGGACACTGCAGCACCTCTACCATGCAGCCTTCTCCCAGTGGTTAGGAATATCGGTAGTTGGCAGTTCTCAGCAGCCAAGTTCACTGGCATTTGGCCTAGGCTACAGGGTACTGCCTTGTTCAAGGTCATGCTTTCTCCTGAGAAGGAGGGGAGTCTAAATAAATCCAATGACTGGCCCATGAAATACAAAGACCAAGCCCTCTTGCCTCAATTTAGGACAACTCCGAAGGGCCATCCCAGCCCTAGAGCCCCAGATGCCTCAGTCACAACTGCAAGGTGGGTCAGCTTCTGCTCGACCAGGTCCTGTCTTCCTCCCTCCCTGGCAAGTGTAAGCTCCCCCTTGCACAGGTTCTCCACCTGCTCATTTAGTTATACTTTACCACTCTCAAGCTCACGAAGTAGTTCAACCCCCAAAGTCATACATGGATGGAATTAAAGCCATGGAAACTTAATCCAACTATGATATTTAAAGATGGGGCCTTTGGAAAATGATTAGGATTAGATAAACTCCTTAGGGTGGAGCCCCTATGGTTGAAATTTGGTGGCTTTATAGAGAGAGAGATCAGACAGACACATAGACACATCTGGCTCCTGGCTCTTGGCTCACTCTGTGCTGCCGAGGGATGCTGCCAGTGAGAAGGTCATCCTCCTATGAGGCCCTTAGACTGTTATTCCTGACCCATGAGCCAAAACGCATCTGTTTTCTTTTTTCTGTGGTACTGGGATTGCACCCAGGGCCTTCACACTAAGCTCCCAGTTCTTATTTTTTGAGACAAGGTATCGCTGTCACTAAGTTGCTAAGGATGAGCTGAAAAAAAAAAAATAAGTAAATAGCCACAAGGAAATGTATAAAAAGCAAAAATTCTTTGCAATTTTAGCCTGCGAATATATACTGTCAAAAGGAGAACTGAAGCATTCAAGATCTTCCACAATGCACACAAAATGCATTCCCTATATTAGTTTACAAAATCGTCATACTATACCTAGTCTTGCACAATTATTTCAACTAAAAATATTTAAGGAAGTACTATTTTTAAGTGCTCCACAGTACCTCACTGTACTGTGAGGTTATACATAATAATTTACTAAGTGCTCGCTCATAGATATGTGCATTCTTCCCAGTTTTCCAGTTTCTAGTAATGCTACAATGGAAGTGCTGTATGCATGAGCATCTCAGAGGAATAAACTGCTGGAGGAAGTTCCGAGTCTGAGATCCCCACTGCCTGGTGAGCTTCCTTTCAGTGACTCTTCTGTCATTTCCTGTGTTCAGGGCTCATGGAATTTACCCCAGTTTAAGGCCATTCTTCCCTACCCTCAACTACTGCAGCCGCCTCTTAGCTAGGCTCACTGGCTGAGTTTCCTTCTAACTCTAGAGTTAGCTCTGATGAGCTTCTCAGCTAGAAACTTCCAATGGATCCTCTTTGCTTGCAGGATAAAATCAAAACTCCCTGTGCAATCTGGTCCCCAAATCTCTTTCCGGTCCCTTCCCAATTCTTCCAGGTACCCTGCAAACCAGCCACACATTTCCAAATATCTACTTCTTTGAGCCCTTATAACTGCAGCTTGCATTTCATTTAAAAAATCCTTTTCAGAATCTAAACTGGGTCAGTCACTTTCACTGTATAGTTGCCCCCTGCCCCGAATTTCTTGACAGAAGAACCTACTAGTTCCTCCAGGCTGCTTGAGAGCTCCTCTGACCTCCTGCATGCTGCCTGCCCTTTCCTACAAGGCTTTCCCTATCTCACCCCCCCTCTTTCCGTTCAGCTGGGAGCTCACATCTGGAGCTGCCCTCATCAGCTTCTTTTCCTTGCACATGCTCAAGCAGAACATTATGCTTTTCCTTTGTAATACCGAGCACATTTATGCTGAAATAACTGACTATGTAATTAATAAATAATTTTTCTTCCCAGTAGACTGTAAGCTCTATGAGGGCAAAGACTAGTCTATCTCCTCTCCGCTGCAACACTACACTGCTTTTGAGCACTTCATATTTTTATTTTTCAACTCCATTTTGAAGGAGTTTAAGGCTGCTAACACACAAAAGGTTGAAGAAAGTACAACAAAGTAACCCTGTGCATCCTTCATCCTATTTCCCCAATAGCAGCACATTTTCAAAGGCAGAAAATGGACATTGGTATAATACTATTAGCTAAACTGCAGACATATGCAGAATTACAGTTTTTACATGCACTCCTTTTTACAGAGGTGGGAGAGTACACTGCACTATGAAATCTCATCATGGCATTCACCTGTGTAAATTCCACCATGATCAGGATGCACAAGAGTTCCATTATCAC